TACAAGATCAAATAAACTTAACAATCCAATAAATAACAGCAGTTCAATCTAATAAATAACATCCCAGTTAGATGCATAAAAAGAAAAAAAAGATTATACAAAAACAATACCCCTTGAATCCTCTTGCCAGTAACTGGGCACTTGGGTCCGCTAGCTCTCTTCTTGGTGGTTTGGTAAACCAATTTCCCACCTTCAAACCATAAACGAAACAGCAACAAAAACTCATTACCCAATTCGCTATTTTCTTTAGCATAAACAAAAAACAGAAGAAGAAAAAGAAAGACTTAACAACATTACATGTGGTGTAATGGACATGTTGCTAACTTACCAGGAGTTTTCACCACACGGTGTTGGTTAGACTTGGTGGCGTAGCTGTGACGCTTCCGGTAAGTCAGACGCTGCACCATCTTCAGATCAGCTCTTCAGTCTCCGTGTTTGTGTATGGTGTGCTGACCAAGGGGAAGACGGGAGAGCGTTTATAGCTAGGGTTATCTTTGAAACCCTAATGCAAAACGATACGCCCAATGGAGTTTAAGGTGGGCCTAAGAATCATTGGTCCGGTCCAATATTGCAATGCTCCAGTCTAGTAGACTGGGCTAAAGACTGGAGTTTAACGCCCAATAACCGGTCCAAACTAATGTGACAATTTCATTGTATTTCCCCATTGATCTTGTGCCAAACCTTCATTCTCAAATCTCAACAGCAACAACATGATACAACCTTAGTCGGTTGGACTCAGACCAGTGTAGGAGAGTCACACCCTGATGTAATAGAACAGATTCATGTAATAATTTTCATAGAATTTCCTTTTTTAGTTTTTTTATCACATAAAATTATTTTGATAAAATCATATAAACTTCTTTCTTCACTCTATGACTGTACTCAATCACTAATTATAAAACTTGAACTGCAAGTCCTATATGATTGTACTCGATCACTTATTATAAAACTTGAACTGCATGTCAGGTTGAGATGTAGCCAATTCAAGATATAAACTTATTCAAGTAAATAAATAAATGACTCATCTTAACCTGGTAAAATACTAGGATTAATTATGACCTGATCGATCCACAGAATAAAATAATCATAAATTATTATTTTTCATGAAATAAAAACTTATTTTTATTATTTTAAAAAATATTTTTTTAATCAACCCACCCCTCTCAATACATGAGTTGTACCTTGTACTAGATCTGGCCGAGGTCAAGTTTTAAATGTATACCTCAAGCTGTATGTTTTTTTTTATACCTGTCTATCCTCCTTGCCAAGAGTGAATAGCACTAGAACAAATTCATTCTATCTTATACAAATTATCTCGACATCAGTTGCTAGGTGCAGGGCTGCAGGTCCTCACAATACGGGAGGCAGAAGCACAAATCATTGAATCAATGCTTGCTCTCCAAATGTAAATTTCAATTGTCAAGATTTTGTATTAAATTCCAATCATTATTTTTTTTAGTTTTAATTTCTTTTTAATTTATCTAGATAATTTTGATGTATTGATGTTAGAAATAAATTTATAAAAAATAAAAAGTATTATTTTAATAAAAAAAATTTATAAATATTTTAAGACTTCAAAATATGCAAAGACATGAAACAGCATTCTATAGAGACTAACAACTCCAGCGGCATAAGCACCCGTCAATCCTAAACTAATTCCAATGCCCTTGTTTGAAAATCAAAGGGGATTGCCCCCTAAAATTTTATTTTTCATAAGAAATCAGTAATAAAATTGACTTTAAAAGTGCTAAGGATGACAGAAACAAGAACTTCACTTATGATCTATTATTAAAATTATATGTCAAATATGCAGGACTGAAAAGTAGTGTCAAATTGTTGTGGCAAAAAAATGAGATAAGTGATCCTGATGAGACTGGGAGAAATCGGAAGAATTCAGACTTGTTGGAGACATGCTGATTTTAGATATATTTAGGCCCGATGCAAGAACATGGAATGAAAGGAAATTGGCAAACCATCCAAATATAAGCAAGGAAATCAAATTGACAATAAGTAAAATTAACATATCCAAGTCATCAGAGTATCAAGCAAGCTAATAATCAATTCCACATTTGACTGGCCATTAAGCGATAACAAAAGTTTGCTGAAACATCCTCTAAGTAGGAAAACTCCACTTCATACACCTCTCATCTAGCTCTTTGAGGCTTGTTTTTCTTTTGACTTCTGGATCTTCAAAACCTTCTTCACAATCTTTTGCTCCTCCACCAAAAAGGCTCGGATTATTCTGCATAATAAAAACACCAAAACCACTTAAAGCGGGTCTCATCACTTCAAAAAACAAAAAAAACAAGAAACCATCAGGGTATCGTACCTCTCCCGAACAGCGCTTCCAGACAAGACTCCTCCATAGGCACGGTTCACAGTCCTGCGGTTCCTAGACAATCTAGACCTCTTGTATTCAGCAGGTCTCAAGTGAGGGATCTGAAAAAAGAAAGTAAAGATTCCATCAAAACCAGCACCACTGGATGGAGCTTTGTAAAGAAAAGAACAGTTAAAAACACTGCAGCCAACAATCATTCATAGCTCACAAAGAAAGCTTTCACAATATGGAGGAAACCATCAACCAATAACATATAAATGGAAACCTTGTATCAAATAAGCAATAAAAAATTTATATACCAGCAAAAATCATTATCAGGATTACAGTAATTCATCTTATTAGACAACTAGACTAAGTAACTTAAATTCTCAAGCACATGGAAAATAGCAATGAAATGCATTTAAGCAGGGCTGGCTTCAAGGGAAGACTTAGAAACTGCTTGCGACAAAGTACAGTTGAAACTCACCCCTTTAATTTTTAACACTTGCAAGATAGGGACTGCAGTAATCTGCAACCCCAAATTTCTGGGGGAAACCAACCAACACGACAAAAAAAGTCATCTCTAAATCCTAAACTCCCAGCCAACCACTCCTCTCCCGATACAGGCATTAACAGACCTATGGCTAGAACTGAAAGTAATTCAAAATGATCCGAAGTATTATATTTCCAACTCCTTACAAAAAAAAAACTTAAAAACTGATGCATTTACACCAACTGTGTATCATTTCATACAAAATCCTTAGTAGAAGGACAAAATAATCCAGGGTACACAAATCTCCATACAAGATCAAATAAACTCAGCAATCCAATGTAGTAATAACAGCATATTCAATCTACGAAATAAAATCCCAGATAAATGCATAAAAAGAAAGAAAAAAAGATGATAGAAAAACTATACCCCTTGAATCCTCTTGCCAGTAACTGGGCACTTGGGTCCGCTAGCTCTCTTCTTGGTGGTTTGGTAAACCAATTTCCCACCTTCAAACCATAAACGAAACCGCGAAAAAAACTCATTACCCAATTTGCTATTTGTTTAGCATAACCAAAAAACAGAAGAAGAAAAAGAAAGACTCAACAACATTACATGTGATGTAATGGACATGTTGCTAACTTACCAGGAGTTTTCACCACACGGTGTTGGTTAGACTTGGTGGCGTAGCTGTGACGCTTCCTGTAAGTCAGACGCTGCACCATCTTCAGGTCAGCTCTTCAGTCTCCGTGTTTGTGTATGGTGTGCAAACAAAGGGGAAGACGGGAGAGCGTCTTTAGCTAGGGTTTTATTTGAAACCCTAATGCAAAACGAGACGCCTAGTGGAGTTTATGGTGGGCCTAGGATTATTGGCTCAGGTCCAAGACTGCAATGCTCCAGCCCAGTATACTGGGCTAAAACTGATGTTTGAGGCCCAATAATCGGTCTAGAGTAAATGTACAATTTCATTGTATTTTCTCATTGATCTTGTATTCTCCATTAACCAGGCAAGCCTTCATTCTCAAATCTCAACAACAACAACATGATACAACCTTAATCGGTTGGACTCAGACCAGTGTAGGAGAGTCACACCATGATGGAATAGAACAAATTCCTGTAATAATTTTTATAGAACTTATTTTGGTTTTTTTGTCAGATGAAATTGTTTTGATAAAATCATAAAAACTTGTTTATTTGAAATTATGATCATCCTTTAATCATTAATTATAAAACATGAATTGTAGGTTGATCCGATATCCAATTGATTCAAATTAAATTTTTTTTTTATCTTGACCTGGTAAAAATCTAGAGTTGACCTTAATTTGATAAATCCATAAAAAAAACATAATAAAAAATTATGAACTTTTATCCATGAAAAAAAAGTTGTTTTAATTATTTTAAAAAATATATATTTAATCAATCCACTCCTTCCCAATACATTACTTGAACCTTGTACAAGATCCAACCCGGATCAGGTCTTACATCTATGCCTCACACTATGTTTTTTTTTTTTTTTTGTCTGTCCTCCTTACAGGGAGTGAATGGCACTGGGAGCTACCTAAATCGAACCAATTCATTCTATCTTAAACAAGTCATCTCGACATCAGTTGCAAGGTGCAAGGCTGCAGGCCCCCAAAAATCAAGCTCAGAAGGCAGACGCACAAATCAATGCTTGCTGCCCTCATCTCCAAACGTAAATTTCGATTGTCAAGATTTTGGTATTAAATTCCAGTCATGATTTTAAAATTTTAAAAATCTTTTTAGTTTTAATTTTTAAAATGTTTTTAGATAATTTTAATATGTTAATATTAAAAATAAATTTTAAAAAATAAAAATAAATATTTTAATATATTTTTAAACAAAAATATTTTAAAAAATAAACTCTACCTATTTTAAAAATAAACTTTGAAAATGAAACAGCATCCATAGAGACTAGCACCTCCAGCGGCGTGTGCACCCCGTCAATCCTAAAACAAATTCCGATGCCCTTGTTTGAAAATCATAGGGGATAGCCTTGATTGAATATCCGGTCGTTAGTTGTTGCGATCGACCGGATATTTCCAGTCGCAAAACGTCAAGATCATTCCAGAATACATTAAGAACACGGCTGTCCCAAAGCGGAAATCGTTGAAGAGATATTAGAAGACCAATTGCCTCGGCTTTTCACCAGAGGCATTGGAGAAGCTACCTACGAGGCTATCGAAAGTATCCTGTCCAATAAATAGAAACCACAATGTCCATAAAAATTTATTGCACTGGTGAGATTACAATTAAAGTTGAAAAATTGGATCATTGTCTATTTGATCCTAGATCAACTCAAGGAAGTCAAAAACAAAACTTCATAGCAGATAATTCTATGAAATTAAAATGAATTTCATGGGGGTGCAGCAGCACATTGAAGATCATGCCAAGATCAGGCAACGTCTAAATAATTCATGAATTTCCCTCGGCTTTCTTTTGATATACTTCTTCAAGGCATTCTTTAGCTCTATGAACCTTTGATTGCAGATAAAAGCTCCCATTTTTGGCATTATTCTCAAACAATTTGTCATATTTCTACATGCAAAGCAGCAATTGACATATTGTTAGCAATCATGAAAGATCAGATCTGATGCTGCAACAAAAAGTCGGAGTACAGTTTGATCTAACTATTGATTCCTAATATTTCATGTCTTGGTGGAGAACCAGGCATGATATCTAACTTGTATGTTAATTCCCTAATTTTCACTGTGTCATAAGAATTTTGGAACATTAAATTTAAAAAGCACTAATATCCTATGATGCTCATTTATATTTCCAGGAGATTAGGTTCCATGCAACATATAAAAGCTAAACTAAGATACAAAAAACACTTCTTTTTAACCATCTTAAATGCTTGATCCAAATGGATTTGCTTTCTCAGAAATGGACATGTAATAAGGAACGAAGGGATTGAAATAGGATTTCTAAACTTCCTAGAATGCATACTGTTCACAAATAATATCTACTTATAGTGTTATGGTTACTAGTATTGTTTTCCACCAAGGACATGCATTCCTAGGGGCTGAAAACATACCTGCAAGATCTCCTCCCATGTTGAATGCTCAGTGATGCCTAGAACTTGCCTGGCCTCTGGTTCAGCCATTATTTTACTTCCTCTTCTAATATTCTGCACTGTTTCGTGGGCAACACCAGATTTTGAAGCATCTGCAATTGGTCAAGTTGTGAACCAGATATCGAGGCAGCTAAATAAAATATGAAAATAATTAAAAGTGAGGCTTTTGGAAGTTGGTGACCCCTAATCTAAGCATCTCCAAGTGCTGAATCCGGAAAGAAAACCATACTTGCAAGTGCCTGACGGTATGCTTGAGCAAATGCCCTCACCATAATTCCAGAGCCCACAACAAGTAAATTAGCAAGCAGCCTGGCAGCCTGAATAAACACATAAAGGCATGTTAGCTACATGGTCATTTCTCTTTAATAATCCCCTTTTCAATTTCACTTGAGGCGTACTGGGCCAAAGATCCCTGCCAATCAGAACTGTCTAATGAACCACATAGCAATCTCTACTACTGTTCTCCATGCAAACGGCATACAACATTGGCTTACAATAATAAACCAACAACCAGTCTTGCTGTGAACAATGAGGCCTTCAGCATTATCCAAAATTTAGACCAGGCGTATATCAGTTAAATAGCATAATCAAATCAAATCATCTCTTGGTTTCTGCAACAGACTATCAAATTGAAGCACAAGGAAACTGTCTTATCTGACTGTACAGTGATTAAAGTGATTAAAATACCTAAATGATGTCAACATATAACAATTACAAAAAGGCAAGATGGTCCATCTCAACCTAGAATGCAAACTGCATGCAACACCAATCAAAAACTGGATGTTCTATCATTTACTGAGATGAGATTATCAAGGGAATTGAAGGCTTCATTTGCAGCTAACATAACCCTACGATATCTGGTGTCCATACTTCGAGTGAAGTAAAACATTTAGCAACATATCACATAGATTCAATCTCAAAGCATCTATATTTTTCAAGTTATTTCCAAAGTGCCATGCCAATTACCAAGAAGCTGCCATAAGGGAGCCTTCTATCTCTCACCAAAAAAAAACCCCCTGCACCAACAGTTAACTTTACATAGAATGAAGGTGGTAAGATTTAGATTCCTGACCGTTTTGTTATTAAAGCTTTGATATCATGTTAAACTAGAGAACACAAAATAGACACCAAAGTTTGGTAACATCTCTAGATGTTAACGTGTGCAATTGTCTATTATATTTACAAACTGATTATACAATTGTATCTATAAGAGGAGTATTACCCTACTGGACACGTACACAGGGCTTGTAATGCATTAGCTTAAAGTATAAATACAAGTATATGGCCTAACCTACTGCTGCAGGCCATCTTTCCTCGATAACTAGATAGTGGACTTGGCTAGGCGACTCTAGGAAGCAGCAGCTAAGGTGCTCGAACCAGGCTCTTGTCAGCAAGTCATTCACTTGCTTATCAACAGGCTAATACCACAATAAAGTTATCAACAGTCAAGGATGGATAGGGGAAAAAAAATGTGAAAACATGATGTAGGAGCTTTTTTAGAAAAAATAAATATCCTCCTTAGCTAATTTTATTTTTTCCTATTATTTATTATTATGCTTTTCTAGTTTTTTTCTTCCTATTTGAATGAATACTTTTCCTAGTTTATTTTTCCTATTCAGTATTACTAGGGTTTTGTAGTTTTTTCTATATCAAAAATTGTAATAGTTTTTTTGGTAAGTGGAGACAAGGAAGAATACAAACTAAATATTTGGGAGTCTCCCCAAAGTTATGTTGCGGTGTTCTTGGTCTTTGAAGGTTTTAACTTGTAACAAATCCCGTTATACCGATCTACGAGAACAATATAATGCATGCAAGAAGATAAGAAAGAAAAAAAGGATAACATGATCATAGAAAACGTACCATCAGTTGAGAAGATGTACAATTCCAGGAACAGGAAAGGCTAAAAAGATTATTTAACAATTCAACAAACCTACAATGCCATAGCAAGCAGTCAAAACACAGATGTATTTCCTTGAGCAAGTTGGAATGTAAAGGCTTTCCATGCTCATAAACGTTTGCATATTTAAGAGAAAACAATCAAACCATAAAAGAATGTAAATATATATTTATATATTTTCTAAGAAGATAAACAGTTAACCATAAAAAAAAAAAAAACCAATGTAGTTATGCAATAGCTTTTATCATTAACCTTAAATAAACCATAAATGACAAACATCGTCAATAAAGTAGAAGAGCAAAATCAAAAATTGACAAAACAAGTCATTTCTCTAAAAAGTAAAACTCAAATTACCAACAATAATTCTCTCAAGATAAGAAGAGTGTGTAAAATTGAAAATACACCACAAAACATATCCTTTTACACTGCTTTCCACATAATTATAAAAAATTCCTTGAATGACAATGAAAAAACAAAACAAGGACAATAACCCACAAAGATATTTGTTACGATTAATTGTCTTGCAGAGAAAATCAATTCTAAAAGCAGCCCAGGAAGCTAAACCAATCCAAGCGGCCTGAAACATTTAGAATTGAAATAACCGTATAAAGTATACATAAAGAGTCAGCTGATTGAGCCGAGAATTTTTTTTTTTTTTAAAGCTGTATTAGATAGAAGAAGCAGAATTTCTTACAGGAGAAAATTTGAAGCTGCGACAAAGCCGGTTGTCTCGTTTGAGGATGTTAGGTTTCTTGCTGAAGGGAGATTAAAAAGCAGGGTCTTAAAGTCTTGATAAAAACAAATCTTTCCAGAACGCTAAAAAAAGGCCGGGTCAAAGTAACCGCCAGTGTGGCGGTTACTTCGGGCCCAAACTTTAGGGTCGCGAAAACTTGTTAGGAAATAGAGAATCTTAAAACTAGTCCTCCAGATATCCAGAAATTCTCACTTGAGTCACTAGAGTATGAAATTTATTGATTGGATCCCTAAAGTCTTATATTTTCTTCGATTAAGCTAATAAACTCCTTCTAATTGTGTGCTTTGTGAAATCGAAAGGCAAGAATTTGAGGAAAACCTGATGTTTTCCATTAAGAAATATAAATATCTTAGACAAGGAGCTAGTTGAAGATTGTGTAATACTTTAGGGACCCATTTAAACAAATCTCTATTTTGACGACGATTGATGTTTTCATTAGAGAATGAAACATTTGTGCTACTACATTCAGAGTGAGTTCATAGTTGAGGGAATGATCTGAGGTTTGGTTAAAAAGAATCATGGCTTGTAAATTTAAGTTACTTTCAATATATTTTACTTAAAAATGAATAAACAAGTTAATAAACACTATGATTTTGTACTTCTGCTGTATTTAAATGGATAAACAAGGATAGGTGATTAATTCATAGGAATATTCTATTTTAATTTTAATTTTTTAATTTAAAATTTTATAAAAATAATACAAATTATAATTGTTAGATTCAAGATATAATTAGATAAACAAGTCTGAATGGATCAATGTATTAACTCGAGTTTGTTTTTTTATCATTATTATTTTTATCAAAACATTGTTTTTTTTTTAAAAAAAAAATTCTTGGTTCTCACTTGTTATATTTAAACAGTGTCTAGTGGAGTTAACTAATTAGAGTACCCAAATGTAACGGAGTCAATGTCAAATTTGATTCAATTTAAAACCTCAGCCGTGTCAAACTTGATAGACTGGAATGAAGTTTAATAAATATGGGCCAAAGATGGCAAAATATATGAATCTCCCGAAGCCATGATCATGGGCCATCAGATCAATCGATAGAGACCCACAAATTTGCGTGATATTATAATATTTTTTACAGGATCGATCTTATCTATTTCCTATTCACAAATCAAAATCTTACACCCCAACCTCTGACCTAGATCACTTTCACTATAAAACCCACCATTTTTCACACTCTAGAGGTCACACTTGTTGAAAGAAGAGAGAAATCCGTGAGAGAATGAAGAGGAGCAGCAAAAGCAGCAGCAGCAACAATCCAAAGTCCGACGCGAGGAAAGATAGGAAATCAGGGACTGGAATGAGTGGATCGCCTAAGAAAGGAGGCCATGGAGGCAAGTTCACTTGGGTTGGTGATGGCTACTCTAATGCTGAGATTGGGTTCGAGAAGGAAGCTGTGGACGTGAAGGACCCTAACTTTGAAGACCCAGAAGAGATCCAGACTGTTTGACTACAATCACCACCATCGTCGTCGTCGTCGTCGTCGTCGTTTAGGTGTCTCTTAGATAATGATCTGATCACGATGTAGAATGATCCCTAGTTTTATCGTCATATAAATAAGTTTTATTGGGATCTTTCTTGTTTATATTTGCAAAATAACAATTCTGGTTGAGGTTATTATAGTCTCCCTGCCTGTTAAAATGCCCTGATTTCCCCTTTAATCAGCTCAATAATATATATATCTGGTAAGATTCCAATAACTCTTTCGCACTCATTATGTTTATTCTTATTCCCTGTTCACGTATCTCTATCATTTTAACTAAATGTGTTTTTATTTGTTCTTCTTTTTTCTTGTTTGAGATTCGTTGCTTGCTCGTAGAAAATGATCCCGATTATCAGGTTAAGATTTTATGGAATTTCCATTTTCTTTTAACTAAGATAAATCTTGACTAATCTTGGTCAACATCAATGTAATTAAATTGATTAGGTCATAAATCATGATCATCAACTGGGTTAGCGATTAATCTAGGTTCTGAAGTACCGGATTTTTACACAGATTTGTAATTTTATTGGACTAGGCTTGGTTTTACAGTTATAGTCAAGCATTCCACTCTCTTTGAATTTTTTTTTTTTATATATATAATCGTGGGCTTTCATTGCACAGCAGTGACAGCACATCCCAATCTTGATTCAATGGAGTTTAACTTTCGTGGATTGGTCCTGTGGAGCTTTTGTTCAAGCCCTTTTGGCATGGTCATGGCTGCCGATTTCTTTCTTTGGTTTCTGTTTTTGAAAATAACTTTTAAATATCGGAAAATAAAGGTAGTGATACTTGGAAGAACTAATAACTTGGGTCATTAAAACAAAATGAAAAAACCTGAAAATTATGAAAAAAAAAGTTTTTATTTTTAGAAAACAGAAATAAAAATATGAAACGGCAACAATACCCCACATTTAATGTTAGATTCTTTTTATTTTAAAAGTAGACATTATATGTGACAGAGCAACTTTCTCTTTTCAATTCGAAAGCAAATGTGACTTGATCTAAACACTATTTTAAATATTCCTTCCATACCAAAGTTATTAAATCAGCTCCAAAGGTAGACGGATTAATTGGATTAATCCAAAACATTTTTATGAAAAAAAAATTGAAAGTAAAGCTAGGTCTTGATTAGATAATGTATTCACTCCCCAGAATATCAGAAGTTTAACCATGTCGATTTTCATCTAAATTTATTTAAATTTGGCCTACACTAGGTTTTAATTAGAAGGGTGGTCTACGCCACACCATGAGCCAGTTAAATTAATTTCTATTTATATAAAAAAATAATGTTTAAATAATACTAGTATTTTTAAAGAAATAAGAAAAATATAAAATTTGAGTTATTAACTTAATTGAATTCAATACATTCATTCAACTATAATTAAAAAAAGTAAAAGATATGGCAATGAATAAAATAAAAAACAAGTTGCAATAATTAACTATAAAAAATAAACTACTAATATCATATTTAGAGGAAAAAAAAAGAAAAACCCTTTAAAGACATCGTTGTGAACACTATTTCATTACCAAAAAAGGCTCATCTATACAATTCTAACTCTATTATGACAAACTACTTGATCACACTAAAAAAAGGTTATCAGACCAATTAACTAGAAAACAAATCAAATAAAATATTACAAAGTAAATATCTCATGTTTATATTTAATCAATTAATTTAATTTATTTTTTTAAAAAAAAACTAAATTTAACAAAGAACAACAAATGAAAACACCAGAGATAACCAATATCATTTTCAAAATCAATAAAAAATCCTATAGAAAGCAAATAAAAAAATTAACGGACCACCAATCTTTAATTAAATAAATATTAAAAGATGAAACTAAATTTTTTTTTTAAAAAAAACCTAATCAAACTTGGGTGAATCTCCAAAACCTTGGACCTCCCAAACATGTAATTTGTAAAATTTTAGACCCGGGCTCAATAAAAAAACTTAATTTCTAACCACTTTAATGGTGAAAGATGAAAAAAAATATAAATTTAAAAAAATTATCAAAGTAAAAAGTAACAATAAAAAATAATGAAGATAGAATATGATAGGAAAAAAAATGAAAGATGATGAAATTATTTAAAAAATTAAATTAAAAAATGATTTTAAATTAAATAAATAGTAATAAAAAGAATGATGACTGAATTTGAAAGATGAAGAAATTGGGAGATAAAATTGAAAAAACAAATCTAACTTTATAAATTATTTTAAATAAAATAAATAGTAATAAAAAATATATATCCAATATTAAAAAAATAAATTGAAGAGTTATTTTAAAAAATTAAAATGTTAAGCATGATAATCAAGGGGAAAGATCAAAATGAAGATAAAAAAACATTATGAACACTAAATCGGAGATTAGTTGGTCACATACATCACCCAATAATAAAGGGGATATCAAGATAATTTAAATCTTATTTTAGGAAAAAACCCCTTTTACATGACATTCAAATATTGCAGAAACAATAACATCAAAATATATTTTTCTTCATTGTTAGATTAGTTTAAATAATAAACAAATTAAGAAAATAAACCAGAATTTCCCTAATTCAAGAAATACAAAGGTATATATTTAATTTTTTTTCTTTCACTACTGAGAATTTCACCAAAGCTTCACTATAACCCTCCATTGGAGAGAAAAATCTTCCATTTAAGGAAAAAAAAAAATCAATCGTTACATATTTTTGTAAGAACAAAAAATAACTCAGTAGCTCCTCCTCATAAGTTATAAGCACATATTAGGAACTTCAGGGATGTATCATTAAGAAGAGAAGAACCTCGGCTAATATTAATTAATAAACCTCACAAGCAAAGAAACTAGTGCACATGCAGGAGAAGAAAATTAGCACAAAAAAAAGTTACATGATATGAAAATTCTGTAACGTGAGCTAGTGTAAACTTCTAACAGCAAATGGCCCGGAGTTCAAAGCTAAGAGCCAACATTTCCTGAACCTCTCACCTCGACTGCTACACAGAAACACTTGACAGGGATTGGCAAGATCTAGAGTAGCAGTTGAGGAGAGAGTTCAGAAGAAGTTGGATCTTCAGCATCCTTGTAGAGAAACAAATAGAGGTGCTGATGAGAATGAATTGTGGAATGTGGACTATATATATATAATTTTTTACTGAATCTAGCAACCCATTGAGTCATGGGGAGTAAGCTCTCAAACCCCCACAAAAGGTTTCCAACATTCCCATTACTTGAAGCAATTATGTGATGCTGGAAACCTTTGAGGGAGTTGGGAGCTTCTCCAACCATTGTAGAGATATACATGAAATCCTCTGTGGCTATACAATAATATAGGCCTTCATGGGGTTTATATAGATTAGTTAATTGCCGACTTGGCGTTGAATTCTGGTGGAATCCTCCACCCAACAGCAGCATTTTCTTTATCTTGTTACATTATCTCATTTGCAGATAACCAAATATTAATTACTACCTGTAAAGGTGATAGAGAAACCGTATCAGATCTGCACCTTGCTGTTCAATTTCCACTCGGATATTTTCTAGTACTGTTGGTTTTCTGTAAAAACACTGGCAAAAACAATATAGTTG